ACATGATCAACTATGACTTGTCTCTAAATATCATAAATAAAAATATTTTAATATTATCTTCACAATATTATTTAAGTAAATGAAATATGTTAAAAGTGGAATAAAATGTCTTTTCAGCTATAAAAGATGGTGCTAATATAAAAGGGTATACTTCCTGGTCTCTGTTGGATAAGTTTGAATGGGAAAAAGGATACACAGATAGATATGGATTCTACTATGTTGAGTTTAATGTCAGAAATAAGCCTCGCTATCCTAAGGCTTCAGTTCAATATTACAAGAAGATTATCACTGCCAATGGGTTTCCCAATCCAAGAGAGGTAAGACTAACTATTTCTTCTGGATTTAGACAAGCTAAGCACTGGGGTGCAGTTTGGCAAGCACTTCCCCTCTTTTTTCCAAAGAGGACAGATGTATACAGCATGGCTCTGTCTTTCCTCCCCCTCACCACCTCTTTGCTCCTTTGCTTAGAATAGAGGAAGCACGCCTCAAAATTTAACTCACAACAAAGCATTAAGGACATGACTAGAGGTATGCATGAGTTCCATTTGCTCTAGGTTATAACAGGTAAAGTCAATGGAGACTTCTGGTTAAATGTTGTCTTAATGCTAATAAATACTATGTAATCTTCAAAATATGTAAAATCAGTGAAGTAAATCAAATGTAGAATGACGTTATTTTCATTTCTTTTCCCATCAAATATGAAAGCCTTATAAACATACTGGCTCCAAAAATGAGACAAAAAAGTAATCAAACTTTATAATCTTTTAAAACCTACCAAACATATCAATAATCTACAAATTTAATAATCTACAATAATCTACAATTTTAGCTCTCTATTACATGTTAATGCACCTATTGGCAAGGAATATAAATGATAATTAAAAATTCTTTGAAGGTGAGCCTAGAGGGACTAAAAATGAAAGTGGTGACTAACAGTTATAAGGCATTTGCTACTTTTATATCATTAGAAAAATACTCTGGTTGTGGTGGTGCACGCCTGTAATCCTAGCTACTTGGGAGACTGAGACAGGAGGATTTTGAGTTTCAAGGCCAGCCCTGGTAACTTAGTGAGATCCTGCCTGGAACTAAAAATTAAAAAGAACTGATGTAGCTCAGTGGCAGAGTGTCTCTGGGTTCAATCCCCAGTACCAAATTAAAAAAAAAAAAAAAAGGAAGGAAGAGAGGAGGAAGGAAAGAAAGGAAAGGGGGAGGGAAGGGAGGGAGGGAGGGGAGGGAGGGCAGGAGGGGCAAGAGGGGCAGGAGGGGAAGGAAGGGGAGGAAGGGAAAAAAAGCACAAGATTGCACACTCCTTAAAAATAATCTATTCTTTGATTCCCTCTCTATGATGCATATAGATGTACAATAAATATAACTAATTTAAACTACAAGTGGATTTTTAAAATATTTATTTATACCCTACATTTACTCCAAAAATAATTTCATACAGCAAAAAGTTAGTCTAAGACATTACTTACCAAGTGGGTTTTTATCAGGTGGAAAGTTGGCACTTCGAAGCCTTGGAAACTTGCTCTATAAACAACCAGTTACTTGCTGCAGGTGAGTATATTTTAATTCTTTTCTTTGATAATTAAATTACATAATTACACATATAATGACATTACCAAAAATCTCAAACTGTAGATCTACCTGAAGTCAATCTTCCCAAACCACTTATGATTTGATTGAATTTTTTCCTTACTTTGAAGCAATGTGAAATTTCTATCTCAGAAGCATTATAAATATTAAAAAAAATCACCATTAAAGAGTAATGTTTCAACTACTGAAATTTTATTCTTTCTGAACCACATTGTAAATTCATATACCTACCATTTTTGTTAAAGTGGGCTTATAGAAGGAAGGGAAAAGTTAACCATTATACCTACGGGAATGAAGAAAAGGTCAAAAATACTTTAGCTCTTGTACTCATTCATTCAGCAAATAATTATTAATCATTCACTATTAACTATGAGTTATTTTAAGCCCTGGGGATATAGCAATGAATAAAACTAGGTCCCTACCCTCACAGAAGGCATCATTTCTTATGAAATGGGATCTAAAAGGATCCAAGCTATAGAATAACCAAGATGCAAATGTGTATCAAGAAATGGCAACACATTTCACCTCTTTGAATTTTTTTTCTCTCCATAGGGACACTCAGAGAAATATACTTTCTGTTTTACTAGACTCATTTTTCCTCCCCATACTGAGGACTGAACCTAGCAATGCTTTACCACTGAGCTACATTCCCCAGCCCTTTTTATTTTAAGACAGGGTCTTACTAAGTTGCCCAGGTTGGCCTTGAACTTGTGATACTCCTGCCTCAGTCTCCCACATTGCTGGATTACAGGCATGTGCCTCTGTGCCCAGCAATAAACTTATCTTTAATGTGGTGTTCAAAGTAGAAAGTACTAAAGCAAACTCTTCTAAGCCAACATTTTTAAGAGCCAGTATATCACTATGTACCAACCTTCCCATATCTAAATAACAGAGACAATACTAAGGATGTATATTCCATTAAACTGAAATAAACAATGTATTTGTAACACAGAATTTGCTTAAAAGCTTATGAACTCTATAAGAACAGAGTCTGTGCTTTATTTATCTCAGTAATCAGAATGCCCAACAGAAAAATTAAAAAAGGGTATTACAGAAATATCCACTACTATATCAATGTACAAGAAACAGGCTCATCATTTAATTCTTAAAGATCAAACTATGCAAGAATCACCATATGATATTTTAACATGGGAATTCCCATAAGATACATAATAACATGCTTGAAAGTTTGGAAATGTTTCCCTCGATTTTTCTTTCATAAGTCTCTCCAGTGAAAAATTATGGGAACTATAAAACATGGCTGTTAATAATCTTGAGAGAGATACATGGTAAGCATTAAGTAACAATACACTTAGCCTTTATTATACTACCTGTAGAAAAATCCAAATTTAGGCATTCCCATATTCTTTGAAATATTTTATAAACTCTCACATAACTTGTGTGTGTGCGTGTGGTGCTGGGGATTGAACCCAGGGCTTATGCATGCTACCTCAAGTACACTACCACTGAGCCACATCCCCAAACTCCTAATTTTTAAATACCATTTAGTTTACTAGGTTCCCTTTTCTACAAAATGAGAATTAGAAAACTTGATGTCATTTCTCAAGTTTTTCCAATATACTTAAAGCTTCTGGGACGCAGCTCACCTGGTGGTTGTTCTCTGTCCCATTTCAGAGCCTTTGCTCAGTCACATGCACATGGTCTCGGAGATTGTGGTCCCCACAGTCTGCACCCTCTGCACACTCATTGCTGCCCTGCTGTTAATGCTGCTCCTCAGGAGCCAGAGTTGAGACAAGATCACCAATTTTGGAGCTTCGTCTTTCATAGAGAAATCTTCAGGATGGTCCTCCTATTTCTGCTTTGAAAGTTTGTTCATGTCTGTTTTCTGGATTTGTTATAATTACCTTTTCCCCCAACTCTTTTTGGTGTATGCTGGAATTTAAGAATTAGAAAATAAAAATAAGCATAAAATAAAAAAAATTACCTATAACTTCACCCCCGCAAAGTCAGCATTAATATTCTGCTTATATTATGCACACACTCTCACTTTACAAAAGAGATCACAGCATACAGTTTTGTGACTTGATTTTTTTCATTTTATGTAAAACATAAAATAGAAATATTACTTAAATGTACAAATGACTGCCATCTCAGCACCATCCTATGTAATGGATAGCATCACTCTACATACAATAATCCATTTAGATTATAGATCTATTAGCCAACCAGGAAAAAGCATTAGGTGGACACCAATAAATGAGCACACAAATTTTACAGAGGTAAATTTCTCATACTAGATTTGATTTATTTTAATCAATAAGCTACTTCAAAGAAATGTTTCAGAATATAAAAAGTATATTTAAGAGAAACATTTATTTAACTGTTAAGTAACAAGGTATATTTTAAAAACATTAAGGTCCATTGTATTCTTTTTTTTTTTTTTTTTTTTAAAGAGAGAGAAGAGAGAGAGAGAGAGAGAGAATTTTTTCATATTCATTTTTCAGTTTTCGGTGGACACAACATTTTTATTTTTTTTTTATGTGGTGCTGAGGATCGAACCCAGCGCCCCACGCATGCCAGGCGAGTGCGTTACCGATTGAGCCACATCCCCAGCCCAGGTCCACTGTATTCTTAAGTTTGCTAAAATTAATCTTCATTTATTTAGGAACATTTTATTCATTATTTGATTCTTCTTAATTTTGTTTCTGAAACATAAAGATAGCAAAACATATTATTCCATTAATTTTTTAATTGTTTTTTTTTTTTTTGGTTAACACTATCTGAAATCAAAAGATTTTTAAAGGGTGTTCATGTCTGAGACTTAGTCCTATAACTGGGCTGAGATGAAATTATTTTTTAACAAAACTTTGGTTTCATTATAAATGTTTATTTATTTATTTATTTTTATGTGTTATTTATTTATTTATTTTATGAGGATCGAATCCAGGGCCTTGCACATCCTAGGTGAGCGCTCTACCTCTGAGCCACAACATCATCCCCACTATAGGTGGTTTTGAAATTCAACTCTACTATACAGATTTGTTTTTAATTTTTTTTTTTTAGTTGTAGATGGACACAATACCTTTATTTTATTTATTTGTATTTTTTTATGTGGCGCTGAGGATAGAACCCAGTGCCTCACACATGCTAGGCAAGCGCTCTACCACTGAGCTGCAACAGCAGCCCCCTCTAGTATTCAGATTTAAAATGCAAAAACATTATCACTCCAAACGAAAAAAAATTTCATTTTGGTGGTTTTAGAATTGAACTGTCCTATTAAGTTGACTAAATAGAAGGTAGGAAGGAAGTAATATCTGGTAAGCCTTATATGTGATTACCGATAAATTATCCATATTCGTAATGTATTAAATCAACATTTACAATGTAGAAATAACTAAAACATAAAGTACTTAATAAAGAGAACAAAAAGTGAATTTAAATACCTTATGGAGGACCTCCTCAGCTCACTTCACTTAAAATGCACCAGGCTGCAGGTAACCATGCTAGTAAAGGGTATCCTTTCTTCCAGGCTAACATTTAGTGTTAATTCAGAAAAATCTGTAACCAGAAAGACAGTAAGATCAGAACTCTTTAACACCCTGCTGGCTTTTCTACACTGACTTTTTTATTAGCACAATAATCAAGAGGTTGACTGAATGGCATATATCTTCTACTTCAAGAGAATTTGTTAGACAAAATTTGGCCAAAACTCAGTTGGACATTGTCATCCAGGACAATTCATTTAAATATTAACCCTTTTGATGCATTTAAAATGTGATTAACAACCTAAAATTTAAGGCAGATTTTGAAAAAAATTTATCTATTTTTCATCTGGGAATATATGGCTTTATTTCTTGAGCCAAATCAACTGAGGTTAAACTGTCTTTTCCCCATCTAAACACATATTTCAGAAAAGAAAGAAATTCTACTTAGGATTTGTAGTCTTCAAGCTAGACATATATCCATTTTTTTCCTCCTTAGACTGATTGTTGTATTAAAAAAAAATGTTAAAAAGTCTAACATTTACATAGGATTAGGTCTGCTTCCTTGCAGAGCAGTATTTTAGCTTCCACACTTTCACCATTACCTGTTACCACTGAGCACCTCTGGGTGGGCAGCACTCTACTAGATACCATTTTTCCACACCACTAACTCCAAATCATTATTCTCTATTCTAATGGCAGCTAAAGGTGTATTCTTTTCTCTTAAGTATCCTACTTTTCACGTCAGTTGTTTTACTTAAGACCATAAAACCCATTAAGTATCTTGAAAAACTAGTTTTTGATCTAAGTGCAATGAAATAAAAAAATCTAATTTCTTAAATGCATATCTTTAACAAAAAATAAATCATTATTGAGCTTTAATGTTTACAATTGGGGCTTTGTTTGGATAGTTCACAACTTTTACAAATGAGGTCTTTCTTCAAGAATGCATCTTGTTTTGGGCCCAAAATCACTGAATAATTTCTAACCTAACATTAAGAATATAGGATAGTGAGAAGAGATTATAAAGTTCAAGCCAAAATTGAGTGCATTTTCAAACACACAAAATATACAATTTCATAAGAATTCTTTATTCAGATAAAAGGAGTCACTGGACCTATGCATTAGCAAATTGTTTTAATATTCAAAATAACTTTCACTTTTTTTGAAGTGATTGTGTCAAAAAGACTCTAAAAGATATGTTCAGTGTACTTTGCTTTTTCAGTATCATTGAAAAAATTTTGTTTCACTTTACATGATTTTTCTCCTAAGTTTTAAAATGGCATTTTTCATAATTGTATCACATATTTATGTCTTCAAAACTTTCTTCTGAATCATAAAAGCCATATATGTTTTCTTCTTAAAAAATGAAAACAAGTGTAGTTAAAATGTTTAAGTCAATGGATTTCAACTTTAGCTGTACCTGGAGAACTTTACAAATTATTGATGTCCAGGGCTGGGGATGTGGCTCAAGCGGTAGCGCGCTTGCCTGGCATGTGTGCGGCGCTGGGTTCGATCCTCAGCACCACATACAAATAAAGATGTTGTGTCCGCCAAAAACTAAAGAATAAGTATTAAAAATTTTTCTCTCTCTCTCCTTAAAAAAAAAAAAAATATTGACGTTCAGGCTTTCTCACCAAAAATTCGGATTTACTTGGTTGGAGTAACAGCACTTTAACAGCTCCCCAGATGATTGTTAAGGACCACCTCTGCCCTCACCAGTCCACACTTCAGGGCTAACATTTGGTTCTAGACCTCTTTATATGTCCCAGCCTGTGTTTTCCTATAGTAAATAACATTACAACTAATAGTGTTGTTCATAGGTCTGTTTGCACATGTCTGGTGTCTGATTATATGTGTGGATATTGTGACTAATGGAACGGCTAGGCTAAAGCATGTGCTCTTTTACAATTCTAGTGGATATCACCCTCCAGAGACCGTACAACTTTACACTCACACTGGCAAGGTGTGTGGTTGATTGCCTATTACCTCATACCCATACCAGCACAGTGACACTAAAGTTTTTGATCTTTTGCTACTCTGACCAGGTAAAAATGGTATCTGCATAATTTAAAAAAAATTTTTTTTTTTTGGTAGTTGTAGATGGACAGCATGCCTTTATTTTATTTATTTTTAAGTAGTGCTAAGGATCAAACCCATGCCTCACACGTGCTAGGCAAGCACTCTGCCACTGAGCTACAGCCCCAGTCCCTACATAATATAAATTTGCATTTCTTTTTTTTTAAATATGGGTAGGGTTAAACACATTTTATTTATTTATTTACTTACTTACTTACTTACTGTAGTAGGCATTGAATTCTACCACTCTCAGACCTATATCCCCAGCCCAAGCACCTTTTAAGAAACATTCAAATTTCCATTTTGTAAACTGCTCAAATTATTTGCCCATTTTTCTATTAAGTTATTAATTTTTAAAAACTGATTTAAAAGTGTTTTTGTTGTTGTTGTTTTATAGGGAATATATCCCTTTTCTGAACATGGGCTATAAATTTCTCCTCCTAGTTTGTCATTTGTCTTGCCTCTGGCATGTTTTGCCATGCAGAAATTTTTCTATTTCTAAAACTGACTTTCAATCTTTTATAGTGCCCAGGTTTTATATCACACTCAGAAAAGATAAGGCATGATTTTAACTGATGGCTCATGGAAAAATTCAGTTTTTTTTTTTAGGACTTTCACAGTATAGCTATCTGTACAGAGTCTTCAATTGACAGGTTTCTATTATGTCTGAATTAAAATATATTCTGGGGAGAAGAATAAACATTGTCTGGAAATAATTTTGAAAGATATTAATGAATAAAATAGAACGATTTGTATTCCCAGGAGTAGCTAATTAAGGTCTTTGAAGTCTTAGACTTTGTTAAAAAACTATCAGATTTGTTTTCAAACAATCCTGGCAATATCTGAATGTATTGATTGAAGACCTATGTGCATAAGAGACAACTGTATCACAATCTGTATGTCTGAAAATACAAGTTTATAGATGCTAAAGGAGGAGGACTTAGTAGGCCAGCTAATTATACAACTAACATGGGTAATCACTGAGAGAGTATAAGAAATTTTAACCCTTACTCTAGTCACAGAGAAGACACCAGGACAGAAATAACACAATTTCAAAGAGTGCAGAGTGTGGATTATGAACTAGCATTTCCATCTTATAACCTATTTTTACACCCATGTCCCTACTGCTTGACCTCATGCGATTAAAGTTCCTCTACCCAGGAAAACGAGGAAAAGCACTCTTTCATATGCTGGGCATGGTGGCACCTATAATTCCAGCAACCCAGGAGGCTAAGGCAGAAGCATCACAAGTTTAAGGCCAACCTCAGCAACTTAGCAAGGCCCTAAAAAATAGCAAGACTCTGTCTCAAAATAAAAAATATAAAGTACTCCTGGGTTCAGTTCCTAGTACAAAAAAGAAAAAGCACTCTTTCATGATTATCAAACTCTGAATTTTTCTAAGCATTACACTGGCACAAATATTTGTATGTCTCCCCCCTCCCAAACCCTTTATTTCTAAGAATAAGTTTGTTCTGGCTCAGCCTGGGTAATTCAGTGAAACCCTCTCTGAAAATAAAAAATAAAATGGGATGGGGACATAGTTCAGTAGCAGAGTGCCTCTGGGTTCAATCTTCAGCAATGCAAAAAAAAAAAAAAAAAAAAAAAGTCTGTTTACACTCAATTCAGGAAAATTATTTAAAACTAAGCACAAGAGCTGTAATAATGATCCCTTCCAGAAAAATTTAGTTTATTTTCACTTGGAATAATTTATCTAAATAGATTACAAATCATCTTTACCAGGTTTCTGAAAATTCAGATGGTCTACAGGTGAACTGTCACTCAATTGCCAAATTGTTTTAACCTTTTTCTGACCGCTATTTATTTCCACTCTCCATTTCTGTGGCTTTTCTCTAAGACCAAGAGGGAAAAAAAAATAAAAACATTAAAAGACAAAACAATGAACAGCTATTTCCTTTCTTTTACAGTCATCTAGTGAAGTCCTTATGGGATAAACACTGAAGAAAAATAGGTCATAACTCCCATTTTGAGTGCAATCAAGAGAGGAAAAGAAATAAGAATATAAATAACAATAATAGAGAAAAACTGGGTAAGAGGACAAGAGAAGCCTGGAATCTGACTCAGAATGGGGACTGCAGAGTTGAGGAAGAACCTCAGAGGTTACAGCATTTGAGCTGAGTATGAAATGATGAGTTAACTAAGCAGACAAAATCTAGGAGGAAGAAATGACACAGGCATAGGCACTGAGGGGTGAGGGTGAGATATCTGAAGAAAGTCAATGATAGCATCCTTGACTCAAAAGGGAGGAGGGAGGATGTGGCATCACCTGGGCCAGAAAGGTGCAGGGTCCAGGCACAGGAGGCCTTGAAGACCACACTTAGGCACAGGAGCACTGTCCTAAAGGTAACAGGGAGTCATTTAAACAGAAAGATATCACAAAAGAGTGTGAATTTTAGAAGATAACTTTGGCAGCAACATTGAAACAGAAGATTATGTTGACAGAGAGAACGGTTAGGAAAGAGGATTTTACCAAAGTCCAGTATGAAAAAGACAAACGTAAAGAAAGTAATGACGATGGGAAGAAAGGGCTGAATTCAAGAGGTACAAATAAGATCAGGACTTTATATCAATTTATTTTATTTTATTATTTCAATTTCTTTAACTGGTGACTTGGTAATCATTTAAAGGAGGGAGTACAGGACAACAATTAGTGGAGAATAAGTCTCAGGTTTCTATTTTAGGTATTAGATGGATACTAATGATGGTCACTTGAAAGATGAAATGCAGAAGGACGACAAAGGGGACTAGGGGCTCATTGTTGTTTTAACATTTTACTAATTTTTAACCAAAAATGTATGTATTTATCATATACAACATGTTTTCTATATATATACATTGTAGAATGGCTGAATCAAGCTGATTAACATGTACATGTACATGTAAAATTTATTCTAGCATTTTTCACCTAATACATAGGTGCCAGGTTGTACAACAGCTCTTAGCACTGGTTCAGAATTAGATTCTAGACTAACTACATGACCCTGAAGCTGGGGATTCACATCTAATAGGCATATAGAAATTTAGGTCTGAAGTTCAGAAGAAGCTGAAGACATAGATTATGAATTATCATTAGCCCAGAGAAACTGTTCTGGTGAAAACTCACATCTAGGAAGCAAGCTGACCAATAACTTAAAAAAAGAACTATTCTTGGGAGTGGGCCAGAGAAGTGAAATTAAAGTTAACACAGAATGCATGTCACAGAAACTAAGAAGATAGGTTTAAGAAAAGTATAGTGCTAAACAACAAATAGCCTATGGGTGCTTACTGAAGGAGAAAACTGATGGCACACAAGGAGCAAAAGAACATTCTTTTACTGAAAATCATCCACTGATTTTGGCAATGAGTGGCTCTTGGGGACCTTCACCTGAGCAGTTTCAGGGGAGAGATGGGGGTTTGTCTAAGAAAGAACTAAATAGAGGGGGGAAATTAACAGTGGCTGTAGTATGAGAGAAACTTCAAGTATTTTCTATGTGGAGGGAAGAATCAGGGGAGACCATCACTTGTAGCAAACCCAGTGCCCAAGTAGATAACTAACCCATCACCATAGCCTCCCCAATCCCACATTCTCCTTTTACTCCCACAGCCATATCCTTGGCCTTGCCACTCTCCTGATCATTCCACCCCTCCCACCCCAATCTGTCATTTCCTTTCTGGCTCTACTTTCTACTTTCTTTTGTGAACAATTTCAAATTGAGAACAAAATGAAGAATTAAAGGCTTGACAATCTAAAAAGAGCTGATATAAGGTCTGGGAGAAAGAAAGGGGAGGACTACTGGACTGTGGTCAGAGAGTGGGGCACTGATGCAGGTTTCAGAGGAGAAAAGGTTCTAGATTATGAGGTTCCCATGGTATAGACACCAAAATTGCCAAGAATCATGGGTGGACTTAAGGTAGAATTTAATTATTAAACTGCTTACCTTTGGTATAAGTTTTTTACAGCAGCTGGTCTAACTGGCAGCTGAAAAATGTGTTGCTCATCAAGAGGATTTTGTTTATAATATTTTATGCAGGATCTAAAAAAAAACAAAACAAAAACCAAAAACTCCTTTTGGAAGACTCATTTGGAGATAAAACTTTCCTTAGACTATCAGAAATATTTTATTGAGTACCATCTACCACAAAAGTACAAAATGAACAGCACCTGCCCAACTAAACTTAGGGTTTTTTTTTTTTTTTTTTTTATTATTAAAAGGAAATCTCAACATCCCCCTACTTCCTTTTTTCTTTCTCTTTCTCTCTCTCTCTGTACTGGGTATTGGACCCAGGGGTGCTAGGTCAATCACTTTAAAAATAAATTAATAATAGACATATTTCTCATAAATATAAAAACATGCTTAATATGTTTACGTTGAGCCCAAGTAAAGGCTCAAATCAGGACAAAGAGGTATCAGAAACATAAAAACTAAGAGGTAGAAGAGAGACAAAGACATGGCCTCCATGGTTTTCAGAGTCTGGGGTATATGAGTTAACTTGATTATACTACTGATTTTTAATGAAAACAATTCTTTTAGGTTCTGTAAAAAGTAACAATTTCAAACCTTTCTCTTTAAAATTGAGGCAAATTCTAAATTTGGAAAAGGCCCAATGGTTTATTTACTCCTCATTTGAGGGCTCTAGTACATGTAAAACACCAGCAATACATGTATAAGGATTATTCCAAATTGTTTTTAGTTCTAACTGTTCAGAATCTCTAACTACAACAATCCAACTGCAGAGGTCTGGTAATACTATCTGATTTCATCCAGTTGTCCATAGAGATGGCTGGTAATGATTGGTCTGACTCAGATTTATAGGGATGTAAAGAAGAGAAGAAACAACATTTATTAAGCACTTATTATGTGTCAGTGACCTTATACACAATTATATAATTTAATCCTTACAGCACACATAGGAGGATTATTTATTTGTTTATTGACACTGAGGATTGAACCCAGGAGTGCTTAACCACTGAGTCACATCCCCAGCCCTTTTTTATATTTTATTTAGAGACAGGGTCTTGTTGAATTGCAAAGTGCCTCTCTAAATTGCTGAGGCTGGCTTTGAACTTGCAATCCTCCTGCCTCAGCCTCCTAAGCTGCTGGGATTACAGGCGTGTGCCACCATGCCTGGCTTTACATAGGAAGTTTAATAATCTCTGATGGATCTAATGATGCTTTTCATAGAGGAGGAAACAAGATTAAGTGAGAGGAAACTTCCTAAGGAAGTTAAAAAGTGATAAAACCAAGTGTTAAGTCTGAGTATTCTGGATTCAAAACCCTTTCCTTCCTATGATAGTGACCTAGAACCATGCTAATCTGAAGACAGGGTGAACAAGTTCTATCCCGACTGGCAATAAAAACTACATATTTTGGCTGCAGTTTTTCAGAAGAGAACACCCATGTTCCTTCCTTTATTTCTTTTCCAGACTGGGGATCAAACTCAGGGCCTTGTACATTCTAGACTACTACTCTACCACTAAGCTACACCCCAGCCCTTTAGATTTTATTGAAATTTTATTTAGTGAAAAAGTTGGCCAGGCTTGTGATTCTCCTGCCTCAGCCTCCCAAATAGCTGGGATTCAGAAGAGAAGATGTATCTATGAAGCAAACAATAAAAACTTACTGTGTTAAAGAAAAGAGGAGCTCATGTTGAAGTTGAATGAAAAACATGCAACTAACTATTATTTCTAGAATATGGTGAAGTTTTTGAACACGATTAACCTGTTCTTGTATCTCCACTGATGAAGAAATGAAGTATTCCTGGAATGAAAAAAATATAAAAAAGGACTGAAACTGACCAAATTACGCTATATACATATATGATATCATGGTGAATTTCACCTTTATCTGTACTTTAAGCTATATCTCCAGCCATTTTATTTTATTTTTTTAGTATTTTTTTTTAGTTGTAGATGAACACAATATCTTTATTTATTTGTTTTTATGTGGTGCTGAGGATCGAATTCAGTGCCCCACACGTGCAAAGCAAGTGTGTATCTACCACTGAGCCACAGCCCCACCCCTTTTTCAGAGCAGGTCTCACTAATTTGCTGAGAGTGTTCTTAAACAAACGATCCGCCTGCTTCAGCCTCTTGAGTCATTGGTATTACAGGTGTGTACTACCATGCCCAGCTCCCACCTTTATGTATATCTATAAAGCACCAGTTAAAAATAAAACTATAAATAAGTACAAGGAAGACCAATTAAGTAGAGGAAAGGGAATGGGGGAGGGAGGAGGGGAGGGAAAGAGGAAATGGAGTGGGGATACTGAAGCAAATTATGACATGCATGTATAATTACATCAAAAATGAATACCAGTATTATGTATAATACACTAATAAAAAGAAAAAAGAAGGCTGAATGTTTTCTCTGATAACTGGATACTGATCCATATGGGGGGAGCATGGGATGAATGGAGGAATTTTGATTGGGCAAAGGGGAGGGAGGGTGGGGGCCACGGGGGTAGGAAAGATGGTGGAATGAGATAGACATCATTACCCTAGGTATATGTGTGATTGCACAAATGGTGTGATTCCATGTACAACCAGAGAAGTGATAAATTGTGTTCCATTTGTATACTATGAATCGAAGTGCACTCTGTTGTCATGTATAACTAATTAGAGCAAATTTTTTTTAAAAGTGAAAAAAATAAAATAAAAACAAAAAAGAAAAAAGTATAAGCAAAATAGAGAGTTAAAGAATAAGCAGAATCTAGGGCTGGGGTTGTGGCTCAGTGGTAGAGTGCTTGCCTAGCGTGAATGAAGCCCTGGGTTCAATCCTCACACCACATAAAAATAAATAAATAAAAGTACTGTGTCTAACTACAACTAAAAAATAAATATTAAAAAAAAAAATAAGCAGAATCTGTTACGTGTGGTGGTGCATGCCTATAATCCTAGCAACTTGGGAGGCTGTGCCAAAATACATTCCATTGTCATGTAGAACTAATTAGAACAACAACAACAAGAAAAAAGAACATCATAGCTGGGCATGGTGGCACATGCTTATAATCCTTGTGGTCAGGCGGCTGAGGCAGGAGGCTTACAAGTTCAAAGCCAGCCTCAACAACTAGCAAGGCCTAACAACTTAGTGAAAGCCTTTCTCAAAAAAAAAAGTGCTTAAGTGGTATGGTGGGGAGAGGGAGGAATATATGTGTGTGTATGTGTGTGTGTGTGTGAATTCTTTGCAAAATGATTCTTTAATATAAATGGGTTGATAAATATAAAATAAACCTTCTTTATAGGGCTGAAGACATTCCCTAATAATTCTAGAGAAAAGTTATAGCAGCACATTTTAAAAAAATATATTTTATTTTTTAGTTGGACACAATATCATCTTTATTTTATTTATTTTTATGTGGTGCTGAGGATCAAACCCAGGGCCTCACACGTGCTAGGCAAATGTTCTACCGCTGAACCACAACCCCAGCCCATATAGCAGCACATTTGCTAGAGCAGGATGAAAACATATATCAGTATCATCAATTTGTAAAGTAAGAGAAATGACATTGAGTAGACTAGTTTTTCATTTGTCTTACTAGATAGTAATAGTTAAGGTACTGACTGTCTTTTTCATGTTTCCTAGAGCACATTACAGACACTTAAGATAGAATGACTAAACAAAAGAAAAACCAATTTTAGAATTAAAAAAACTCACCAAGTGATTCAAAGATGCAAGTTCCTGACCTATGAAGAAAAAACACATATATGCAAATCAGTTTTAGGAATTGTCTATTACATGTTAAGGAACCCAAGCAAAACTTTCCATAGTTCATACATGAAAGAGATCATCAAGCTAAACACTTCCTCATAAAAGACCAATTTTTTTCTGACATTTTACACCATAAATACATATTAATACTATTCTAAAACTGATCACAGCTTGCTCTAATAAAAAATCACCAAGTATTGGGTATTAAAATAGCATCTCATAAAAGGCTTTTTAATTTACTAAACTTGCCGAATCTCAAATGTTTGAACTATAAGCAAATAAACAAAACTATAGTTATATTTAATTTAATATCTTTTTGAATGGCTCACAGGAGAGAAATGCTTGTTTCACAGTGAAGGGGGGGAGGGGGGGTGGACCAGGACTACAAATGACTAGAAGCAAGTAGAAAGATAAAATGTGAAAATATCTATGGATGACAACTGGACATGCTTTTTAATGTTTTGAGCTGGGAAAGGAACTTACCTACAAAAAAACTGATATAATCTTTTTTTAGTTTGTCCAAGCCAATTTCCAAAAGCATTTGAAGTGGAATAGTCCCACTGAGAGAAACTGTGTCCATGGTTCCATGATAAGACTGATGAATGAGCTTACTTAGTAGACTGTTACTCCCACTATGGAGCTAGAAATCAAGAAATTTTTATAAAACCATCCAATATGCAAAAGAGAAGTAAACTGCATAAGTTAAAAATTATAAGCTTTCATTCTTCATCTCCTGACACTACAAATTGTTTGAATATGTCAGTTTCTTAAACTGTCACTACAAATTGTTTGAATAAGTCAGTTTCTAAACTGTCACTACAAATTGTTTGAATATGTCAGTTTCTAAACTGTCTTTTCTACCTTAACTGTTGAAAAGTTCAAAGCAACTCAGAAGAGTTTAAACTTACCACCCCTAAGTGATAAGCTTAAGCTGTGGGAAAACTCTATCCCTCAATGGCCTGTGCATATATCATAAAGAATTCCTTTATGGCTATGATATCCAATATAACTTGATAATTGCCAATTAAAAAGAACTGTGAACTTAAAGATTTAATGTGTTCCAAGTGCTATATAATTCATTTTAAACATATATAAAATATTTGTCATTTTCCCACTAGTTTCTATTTATTTCTATTTTAACTTTTATCACAATCTTTTTGCATTTTCTTTTTAAAGTAGTTTCACATTTTGCACTTACTGTATACAAAAGAATTTTACTTGTAAACATCTCAAAAACACAGAAATTCTTAACATAAAATTATAAATAGTCAAAACTAAAATGCCTACAATCACTAATGCCCAATTAAGCAGAGCCTTTGCTCTCAAGTGTACCTCTGTTCAGAACTAAGAAAGCCTTTTTTCTTTTTGGTGGTGGTGGCAGGGTGTGCTAGGGATTAACCCAGGGCTTCATACATCTATGAAAGTTTTTAAACTTTCATAGTTGTGAATTGACAGCCAAGTTATTTAAGATTCCTATTAAAGAAGGAATTTTTGTTTGTTTCCAACTTTTAGCTTTTCCTTCATTGTAAAAATAGTGCAATTTCAGTATGGAAAATTTGTAAAGTACAGAAACATATAATGTAGTTGGAAAAAGTCACTTGTAATCTTTTCACCAGAGTTGACTGTTATTAATATTTTAGCATACTTGTTTTTAGATTTTTCTCTCCAAATTTTACATTTTTAAAAATATTTATTTTTTTTGAACAACTAATAAAAAAATTTATTTTTTAGGACACAATGCCTTTATTTAATTTATTTATTCTATGTGGTGCTAAGGATCGAACCCAGGGCCTTGCACATGCTAGGCGAGCACTCTACTGCTGAGCTACAACCCCAGCCCCCCAAATTTACATTTTTATACAACTGTGTATACTCCTTTTTTTTTTTTACTGAACATTATAAGCATCTTTCCACATCATTTGTCAGCAACACTTGCTAGCAACTATGATACATGCTATTATGTGGCTGTATCATTATGTACTTGCCATTCCTTTAACAAGGGGAATTTAGTTGTTTATAATCTTTTGCTACTATAAATGAAACTATAATGACTATTCTGATATATGCAATCTTGACATATTTTTGTTTATGAGTTTAGCGTGGATTCTGTCCATAGAATAATAGTTCAAAGGTCATGCTACATTTTGAGGATATCAATACATCTTCAAAATTACTTTTAAAAAAGAGTATCCCAGGAGCTAGGGCTCAGTGGTAGAACTCTTGCCTTGCATGCATGAGACACTGGGTTCGATCCTCAGCACCACATAAAAATAAATAAGTAAAATAAAGACATTGTGTCCATCTACAAATAAAAATATATTAAAAAAAAGAGTATCCCAGTTTTTATTTTCATCATTGGTATATGGAAATACTCAGACACAGAATAGTTAACAATGACAATATTAGTAGCTGCAGTGCCTGTGTCCTTACCCATCATACTATGCCACTGAGAACACATTCTAGCACTATTCAACCTACCCATGGCTGTATATCACCACGTTGTAGACTCTGGATGATCAACGTGAAACACTTCACCAAGTCTTGATATGAAACCACACCTTCAAAACCAAGTCAAACTAACATTATTTTCATATTTCTATAAATCAAAAATGTCATTAAACTTAAGAATACACAAATGAATTAGAAGAATCTGTACTTTATAGATGGGGGAAAGGAAAAAAAATTACAGAAAAAAGACTTAAAGCATTTTTAAAAAAATACTTACTTTTTTAGTTGTAGTTGGACACAATACCTTTATTTTATTTATTTATTTTTTATATGGTGATGAGGATCAAACCCAGGGCCTCGCACATGCTAGGTAAGTGCTCTATTGCTAAGCCACAACCCCAGCCCCGACTTAATACATTTCTAAGGTTGAACTGAGATTGCCAGAAAATAATATAGTAAGCAAAATATTAAGAAATACTTTTGACTTTTCTAATAATTATAAATTTATTAGGTATATATTTGTGTTCATATAAATATAACATAATCCTGGGGGTGTTGCATGCCAGTAATCCCAGCAACTGGGGAAGATGAGGCAGGAGAATCTTGAGTTCAAAGCCTGCCTCAGCAACTTAGCAAGGCCTTAAGTAACTTAGCAAGACCCTATCTCAAAATAAAAAATAAAAAGGACTGGGATGTGGCTCAGTGGTTAAGCGCACCTGGGTTCAATCCCCAGCACCATAAATAAATAAAAGAAACATAAAGCAAAATCTAATACTTTAAAAAGCAGGAGCAGAGCTGAGATTGTAGCTCAGTAGTAGAGTGCTTGCCTAGGACCTGCAAGGCCCTAGGTTCTTGATCCTCAGCACTTCAGAATAAAACTTGTCCCTCCAACCATGTCAGACCTCCTGGCTCTAATAAATTCCAACCAAAAAGCATATCAAGGTTAAAGAGAGAACTTACATAAAAAAATAAATAAAATAAATATACAAAAAAAAAAAGCAGGAGAAAAGAATAGACTTATAAAATTGCTTTATCTTAGTATAATTCTTGAGCATAATATGCCAATCTATTATTAGAAATGAATTTGATAATATAAACATAGACTGGTAGTACATACTGCATTATTTCCAAAAGATTTAAATAACAAAAAAATTTTTAATCACAATGGATACCTACTGCTGCTCATTTTGCACCAAAGTTGTTCAGCAAAATCAAGATCACCCCGCACTGTGATCAGTACGGACCTATCAACTGCAGCAGTGTCATGATTCACTGTCTGAAAAAGATATAAGTTTGAGAGAATGTCAGTTTACTTATTTTTAAAGTGAAATAGCTTAAGTTTTTAAAGGCTGCTCTGAGACATTGCAGATTTATCAACACAAAGAATAATATGAATATATTTTCTACACCTTTTCATTCACTGATGAGACATACAATAGATTTGAAAAACTAGACTTCTTAAAGTTATTTTAAAACTCTAATGCCTAGAAATGAGCATTCAGTTTTCTTTCCACATAATATTTATTAAATTACCTTAGTCTCCATTTTTCTTTTCATTAAAATGAGAACATACCTAGTTTTAATTACTAATACCACATTATGTCATAATAACATCATTTTAAAGTGTATTAGTATACTATAGCAATATCATCATATAGTGTACTGACACTCATTTCTCTGTAATTGAGTAGCTTAATAATAATGAGATTGTACCAGATCTACTTGAGATGATACAACAAGAAAGGTAATAGCATAAGCAAATTTTCAAAGCATTTCCTGTGTACATTTCTAACTAATAATAATCACTTACCTCTGCATCTTTTTTTGTAGGATCACCAAATCCATCCAGCTTATTTAAGTCTAGAAAGTAGCAAAAGCTAATTAACTTAATTTTTGTTTTCAAGTTTTCCAAATTATTTTCATCCTACTCCTATTCTCAAGTAGCAAATGGGAACAGTAAAAGCATGAAATTTAACAAATTAACCTAACTCTGCAATGGCAGTAACAATAAATACCCATCAGGTAGGGGTGTGAGAATGAACTGAGGTAACATGAAAGCCCCTGACACACAATGCTGGACACATGGCAGGTACTCAAGGGTTACTATTTCATCCTTCTTTTCCTATGATCTCAAATATGTTTGTGTTATATAAATTTCAAACTAAATCTTATTAGTTTTTTTTTTTTTTTTTTTTAGAATTACTTAGGTCTTTACCATTAGCACTTTGGAATAAAATCTGTCCCTTCAACCATGTCAGACCTCCTGGCTCTAATAAATTCCAACCAAAAAGCATATCAAGGTTAAAGAGAGAATTTACATTTAAATATACCAAGTGTAAATTCCTATTTAAGAAAAACAAGAGTGAATTAGGAATTTCATAGGGGCAATTTAGCAAGATGTCTCAAAAAATAAAAAGGGCCGAGGGTATAGCTCAGTGGTAGAGCACCCTGGATTCAATCCTCAATACCCCAGTCCCTGCAATAAGAATGAATTAGGAAAACAAACACCATTCAGAAATTCCTGCACAAGTTCAATAGCAGATTTTGGTTCCAGGGGCTCGAGCCATTCAGTCACACCAGTCTTCAAACCATCAGCCAAAACCTATGGGAGATTTTAAAAAGCCCAGAAGCTTGTTAGTAGAAAATATAGCTTAATAAATAAGGATGTATTTAGTACTATTAATGGTAGTGACATTTCTTGAGTATTTAAACTCAACTGCACTGTGAAAGTATATGGTAGATTGCTTGCCTACCATGTGTGAGGCACTGGGTTTGATTCTCAGCACCACACATAAACAAATAAATAAATAAAGGTTCATCAATAACTAATAAAAATTTTTTAAAAATGAGGTAGCTATTACTATTACTCTCATTTCATTGAGGCTAAGCTAAGGGAGGTTAAATAACTTGCTCATAGTCACTCAATTATGTAATTCCAATTAGTAAAGAAAAGCCAACAGCACATGAAAATATGCTCAAAGTCATTAGAAATGCAAATCAAAATTACAAGATACTAGTTTGTTCCCACTAGAATGGCTATCATTTTTTAAATTTGACAATATCAAGTGTTGGCAAGGATACAAAGAAACTGGAACCTTCCTACAATGCCGGTAAGAATGTAAAATGCGGCAACCACTTTGGAAAAAAGTAACAGTGTGACAGTCCCTTCAGAGGTTCAAACAGTTACCATAGACCTAACAACTCCATCTATGAAATATGTAAACATATCTACACAAAAACTTGCATATGAATGTTCACAGCAGCATTATTCATGATAGGCAAAAAGTAGAAACAACTACAATGACCATCAGCTGATGACTGGATAAACAAGATGTCGTGTATCTATACAATGGAATGCTACTTAGCACTATAAAGGACCAAACAGAAAGTAGATAGTGATTGCCATGGGCTGGTGGAGGTGGGAAGTGAATGCTAATGGGTATAGTGGGCACCATATTTCATGAAGGGGTGATGAAAATGTTTTAAAATTAATTGTTGATGTGTACAACTTGGGTAAATATACTAAAAACCACTGAAATGCACAGTTAAAATGAGCGAATTTTATGGAATATAATTTATATTTCAATAAAACTATTTTCAAAAATAAATGAAAAGAAATGAGCAGGACAGCAGCTGGATCATACCTGGCTTTGCATGCCAGGCTATATGGAATTTCTACTGTATTAAAATGAGACATGCTCCTAAGATTCAATTTGTAGAGTAGAGCTAAAATTACTGAAATATAAAATTCTTCAAACACACATTAATCTTTAGCATCAATCAAAATTCCAGTTATGAATAGGAGGCCATTTGGAATAAACTGGCAATTGACCCACCTGGAAAGGGGGGACCCTCATATAAATAAAAAGGAAACACTCTACTAGAAAATGGAAAGATTTGTAGTTACTGATGCTCCCCTTTAAAACTGTAAGGACAATCACCATGTAAGTGATATTAGCAAACTTTTTTTATGAAAACATGCAATTTAATGAAAGTTAAGAATTTCAGAAGGATACTCACAAGGACAAATTTCAGTTCTCTGTGAAGATGATTCAAACAACCTCTGGGCTCTCCTGATTCCACTTTAATATTCTAAAAAGAACACCAAATCTGTCAGTTTTAATGGGCAATAACTGCATAAGAGAGTAACTTGCATTTCAAACCAACCAAACATTTAAAAATATATTTTATAAAGCATCAATGAATTGAAAAATTAGATCAACACTTCATTTAAAACATTTTACCCAGATTCTGCCATCTTGATATAGTAACCTAAGCTCAGGGAATTGTATACCCTCTCTACATACCATAAACAACTGTACTTGCATGGAACAATTGCCCTTTTCACATGCACTGCTCTCCTGCTTCAAACACACACTTATTAATCTTTAGCATCAAGAGGACAAGGTAGAGAAATTTCAGTCAATGTATCTAAAGACTCAATGATAACTCAGCATTATCACACACCAAAAATAAAAATCCAATAGTTTTATAGACTCCTTCTAACTAAGCCAATAGAGCACTGTCCTAGTCAGAGGTTAAAGTTTTACAAATTTAAGACCTTATAATTTTTTTAAAAAGGCCAATATATGTAAATCCCTACTACAGGAAAAGCACAAAGAATGTAATTATCCAAAATCTTACCATGCTGAAGGAACCACTGTTAACACTATCCAGGTTTCTGTGCATGCATTTTTTTTAAACATAGTTGAGATCATACTGTATATATTATTTTGTATATTTCCTTTGTTCTTAAAAAGCATTTTCTATTTAAGACATTTTGAAACATGACTTTTTAAAGCCTGGATAATATATGTCACCATGGATATCTATTTTAACTACTTCCCTATTGAACATTCAGGTTTTGTTTTTAATATTTTAGAAAGAACTGTGTCCAAGATTGAATATCTTCTACATGATTTTTTTTGGGGGGGGGGGGTACCAGGGATTGAACTCAGGGGCATTCAACCACTAAGCCACATCCCCAGCCCTATTTTGTATTTTATTTAGCAACTCTCACTGAGTTGCTTAGCACCATGCTTTTGTTGAGGCTGGCTTTGAACTCAAGATTCTCATGTCTCAGCCTCCTGAGCTGCTGCACCATGGCACCCAGCAATATCTGCATTCTTAAGAACACAGGAAACCATAAATCATTTTAAGTCTCCACATAACAGACTTCATTAATCACTAGAAAATTCTGTTTTAATTTAATTTTAATTTTTTTAGTTGTTGATGGACTTTTATTTTATTCATTTATTTATATGTGATGCTGAGAATTGATCCCAGAGCCTCACACACAATTGAGGCAAGTACTCTACCACCGAGCCAAAAACCTAGCACTAGAAAATTCTTAAATTTCTAATTGTGGAATTGTGAGCAACTGATGGCTCAGCTCACTTGGCAAAACCTCCCCTGGATGCCCTGGTGAGACTCCAGGAGCAAGGCAAGACTTTCAGAGTTGTCCAGCCTTATACCCAGTGACTGCTAGAACTGAAAGCATGCAGCCCCAGCAATGAGCAAGTAAACAACCATTTAGGGGTCTTATAAACCCAAGCAGAAAAAAGGGTCCATTCGTACCAGAAATGCAGTTGAAGAGAGTGGGGGAATTTGAAGAATCTCATCGACAGGACTCCAGGAAATATCCAAAGTGATTGTAGTTTGTGATGGGGTGACTATATCATCCAAAACAGTGGACTTAAAGAGCTCATACTGGGCAAAGCCTCTGGCTGTTACCTGAAAAGAGTGCATCCAGCAGACCCTTAGCATTATGTTTTCAAATGGCTCAAGAGCCCATTTTTTTGCAAAACTACTTTGATTCTTGTCCCAAAAGAAAAAAAGCACCTTACTCTGACTTTCATTCCAAATGGAAAAATAAGAGTTCTTTTTAAGTGACAAACATTAGCTTAAAGGCAAGAAGTCACATATAGTCAGCCCTCTGTATCCACGGGTTCTGTACCAACCATGGAGCAAAAACATATCATTTTAAAAACTACATCTGTATTAAATATGTACAGGCTTTTTCTTGTCATTATTCTCTGAAAATAAAATATAGCAACTGTTTACAAAGCATTTACACTGTATTTGCTATTAAAAGTAATCTAGAGATGATTTTATGCACAAAGGAGGATATGCATCAGTTATATGGAAATACTACACCATTTTATATAAGGGACTTGAGCAACTGAGATTTTGGTATCTGAGGAAGGTCTTAGACTCTATCCCCATTGATACCAAGGATGACTGTATCTTAGCTGCTGATAATATGAAAATAAACTTGATAAATTTCAGAAGTGAAAAAAATCTCTTTTGGGGGGAGAGGAGGTACTGGAGATCAGAAATGAAAAAAAAAACTTGGGGCTGGGGATGTGGCTTAAGCGGTAGCGCACTTGCCTGGCATGCGTGCGGCCCGGGTTCAATCCTCAGCACCACATACAAATAAAGATGTTGCGTCTGCCGAAAACTAAAAAATAAATATTAAAAAATTCTCTCTCTCTTTAAAAAAAAAAAAAAAAAAAACTCTTTTGGGGAGAGGAAGTACTGGCCTTGCACACGGAAGGCAAGCATTCTACCACTGATCTACATTCACATCTTGAAAAAAATGTTTAAAACTAGGAGGGCAGGTCAATAACATTTTGAAAAAAAAAAAAACAAGAGAGAAATACTTACAGTAGACAAGTGATGTCTTTTCTTGTGTGAATTTTTTAGGTTTTCCAGACTTACAGAATAATTTTTATCAGCTACAGGATACGAAAGAAAAAATTAAAGGTACCACTGAAAATTATATTGTTAGAGAGTTAGAAAATCATAATTTCTTAAATTGTGAGGATGCCATAATACTAATAATTGTTGATATTAAATTTTAAATCACTGTGAGTGAAATGTTTATTTCAAAATAAAAGTGAAACAAAGGTCAATATCACCATCAAAAATATAATTAAAGCTAGGTGTGGTGGTACAGGACTGGAATCCCAGCAACTCAGGAGGCTGAGACCATAAGCAACTTAGTAAGACCATGTTTCAAAAATAAAATAAATTTAAAAAATCATTAAATGTTTACTATGAGTCTGGAATTATATTGTTATTATATTCAGTTATTTACATCTAAGGAAAGTTGCAAAAACATACACATGCGAATCAAATGAAACCCAAACAAAACAGGCATAACCTCCTTTCCAGACTTTCTGGTTTTTCCAGAATCCTTCCTCCAAGTTGTACAGTGGAGTAACTTCATGTAATCAACTAAAGTCCCACTGTGTACACTTCCCCTTTAATATAAATATTCAGTAAAAACCCAAAACAAAAATTATACAAATAAATACAAAGAATGAGCACTCACCTTTACAACTAACCACATACAAGACAATTCCTGTAATACTGTCATTTGTTGTGATGAGCTCAGCTCCTAGCCAACAGGTACTTTCAGGATCTGAACTGTCACATCTTATCCAAAGGGGAGGAAGGGCAGTAACTGGCTGATTAATCTTCAAATGGGTCATATTAGGATTGTGAGCCATGGTGTAAAGTCCAATTAATTGCCTTGAAAATAAGAGTAAGAAGAACAAATTTAGGTAAAGATCATAATCAAGAATTTTCTTTTTGGGCTGAGTGTGTAGCTCAGTGGTAGAACACATGCTTAACAAGGGAGAGGCCCTTGCATCTGATCCCCAGAACTACCACCAAAACAAAAGTGTGAAGCCTGGGTTTAATACCTAGAACTGCAAAAATAAATAAACACAGAACTTTAATTTTTTAAAAAATAAATGAAAAGTAAAAAATAAAAAGTAACACTATACCAAGAAGAGTCTCAAAAACATCAATTTGGAAATAAAGTAGCAAAATTCGTAAGTATATATGTATGTATATTTCACACAGAGATGTGAGAATAAAGCACACTAGTTGATCAAGAAACACAGACCATAAAGTTAAGAGTCTGACTATATGGGAGCAGCTACTAAAAAGGAGATCAATATGGAGATGGGGTGAGAATGGAAGTTGGGTGTGAGAGTAATTTAAAGAAATAATAGGTAGGAGCCAATAAGCATATCATAAGATGCTCAAAGTCATGAATCACCGGGATACTTAAGGAAATTTAAATGTGGCCTCTGAATTAGATACTAATTATAATGTTAAATTTTCAGATTTTGATCATTGTTCTTTGGTTACATAAGAGAATATATTTGTGGGCTGGGGATATAGCTCAGTTGGTAGAGTGTGCTTACCTTGCATGTATGTACAGGTCCCTGGGTTCCATCCCCAGCACCCCCCCCCACACACACACACACACAAAGACAGAGTAACAAGATAAAATCATAAACATTAAAAAAAGAGAGAATATATTTGTTTTTAGAAATTACACAGTGAAATATTTGGGGATAAAAGAATGAAGCTTCTGGGCTGGGGTTGTTGGCTTAGTGTTAGAGTGCTTGCCTTGTATGTGTGAGGAACTGGGTTTGATCCTCAGCACTGCATATAAATAAATAATAAATAAATAAAGGTCCATCGACAACTAAAAATTCAAAAAAAAAAAAAAAAAAGATAAAGCTTCTCCAATATACTATCTATACCTATTACATACATCTATACCTATATGTCATTTAAAAAAATTGCATATATATATATATATATGTGTATGTATGGTATGTGTATTTTATATGTAGCTATATAAGTGCATACTTACAACATAAATACGTACACACTATATATATTTCAATAGTTACATGTGTTGTATATAAAAATAACAATATATAATTAACAATATAGTTATACTGTGTACACAAGTGTATTGTATGTACATTGCTTTATGTATAGATCTACATAGAGAGGGAGAGAGATTGACACAGCAGATTTAGCAAAATAAAATAATTAGTGAATTTGGGTTAAGGGTACACAGAAGTTCCTGCACATCTTATAACTTTCTAAAACTTTATAAATATATCAAAACTAAAGGTTACTCACAAAATGTGTTTAAATTTTTGTTTTTTCAAAGAGATAAAACCTGAATTTACTATGAACAGATGTCCAGGAAATAAATTTCTAAACAATTTTATTTCAAAAAGGAAGTAAAATAATTCCAGAAGGATGGTTTAAAATGCAAGAAGAAATAGAAAGCAAAGAAATGATAGCATATGAATCAATCCAAAAAACACTGCCTGATGAAAACAATATCAACAATGTTCAAGTTGTCTGGGAGAAAAATAGCCTATATTAGGACTTAAACTCAAGAAGCCGTGAAAGAAAAGACTGAATAATTTAGCTACATACAATTTTAAAAAAACTTTCACAAAGCAACAAAAACAAAACAAACCTGCATGAAGGAAAGTCACTTTGCAAACAGTGTTATGGTAACTATCACTCTCTAATGATATTATTTTTATGACTCTATCCTCCAGAACTCCTTGAAGGCAAGGAATTTTTTTTGTTTTGTAAGTATGGAAAGGTTGGGCAAAGGGAACTACATATGGCTATACAGCAGGAAGACAGAAAGTGAAGCTGGAGAGGCAGATAGAGGCATTAGGGTTTCCAAAAGGGGCACAGTGCCATCTTGGGTAGGTAATTCCCAGTTGTGCTGGAAAACTCCACGCATTGCAGGACATTTACCATCCACAGCCCAATCCCAGTAAATGCCAGTCGTTTCCCTTGATGGTTATGACTAAAAATACCCCTGAATACTTCCAATGCCCATGGGGTACGGTACCATTCCATGTGGAGGATCTCCAGGACAAGTAAATGAAGCTCCTGTATGTTACTCATGTGGAATCTGGATTTTATCATAAAGGGAAGGAAGAACAACTGAAGGATTTTTAAGCAATATGATCAGGTTTTTATTTGATAAAGATCAGTATGGGACTGGGCTCAGTGATAGAGCACTTACCTAAGGCCCTGGGTTTGAGATTCTCAGCACCAAAAACAAAAAAATCACTGTGGCAGTAGTGAGGGAAAAAAAAAAATGTAGAAGAGGTGCCAGTTTAAACACAAGGAAAACAAGAAGCAACAACAAATTGGAAAAGAGTGGAGAAAGGGAAGATAACTGTGTTCTTCCTACACATTCATGATGCAGATGGAATGTCCTAATGGAGCTATTTTTAGAGAGCTGGGCTTGTATATCTTAGGGGAAAATGGAAGGAAGAGAGATATCTGGGTGCTAGATACCTATTTTTTCCCAATATTTACAAGAATGCTTCAAATTAAATCCTCCCCCCTTCCACCTCTGACCCTATGCTGAGGAAAAAACTTACCTTGCTTTCCCAACTGGTAAAGCAAGTGGTCCAACATTTTCACCAGTAGAGAAATCAGAAATAGCAGTTTCTTCAGTTTGTGGTTCTTCAACATGACTTGTTTCTTCCTTTTCTAATGGCTTTCAAAATGGTTTTAATTATTTAATCAGATAAAATAGCACTTTTTAGTCAACGCCTTACTATGTAAGGGAATAACTACAGACAGAACCTAACATACTCATTTCTATACCCATAAGCACAAACGATGGGGTTGTAGTCACAGACTAGTTTGGTACCAACAAATCACACCATTATAAGCATTTCCACTATCCCATAAAAAAGATATCAATTTAGTTGCTCCTGGTAAAGGAAACATCTGATGCCATTAGAAAAGTGCTCCAATATGCACAAAGTGATAAAATCAATATCAAGTTAAATCAAGGTAAAGATAAGATACCAAGGGAAATACCAAGAGAACCTCCCAGATTTTGTTGGATTTTTCATTTCCCAAACTGGGAGATCTTCTTTCTGGGATATGATCTTAACTCCACAGTCTTGCTCCTTGTACCTATTCCTCTTAGGGCTATCAGCAGTTGTCATTGGTATTATAGGATTCCAGTATCTATGTATTTACAAGATAGTTAAATAGCATAGCTTAGGTAGTAACAACAGTAATTTTAAGAGTTAACAATTCCTGAGTACTAAATACTGTTCTAAGTTATCTTTTATTCTTCACAAAAATCCTGAGCTAGATGTTATTATCATCTCTGGGAAAAGCGAGGTAGCAAAAGGCTAAATAACTTGCCTAAAAGCCAATATTTGAACCTAAGTGTGCTCACATGGAAACCTACATAAGAATGCTTACAATAGCTCTATTCATTATACTACCAAATGTCCTTCAAAGGGTGAATGGGTAAATAAACTGTGATACTCCATATCATGGAATACTATTCAGCAATAAGAGTAAATGAACTATTGATACAAACTGAATGAACCTTAAAGGCATTATACTAAGTAAAAGAAGTCAGACTCAAAAGCTTTCACATTGTGATTCCATTCATGACATTCTTGAAAAGACAAAACTATAGTAATAGAAAAGAAACCAATGGCTGTCAATGGTTAGGGGATAGGAGAGGATATGATTACAAAGGACTAGCATGAGGGAGATTTTTGGTGAGATGGAAGTGTTTTATATTCCAACTATAGTAGTGATTATAAGAATCGTTATGTATGTCAAAATTCATAGGACTGAACAAAAGAAGAAAAAAGTCAACTTTATTGTCTCAATTTCACTTCTTTCTTTTTCTTAATAAAACTACTAAAGCATTTAAAACTACATATATGGTTGACAGTTTATTTCTACTAGACAGCACTATGCTTATTCCTAAAAGAATTATATACACACTCCCTAATGCTGATAGAAAAATGTGTGTGTGATTATTCCCAAGGAAGCAAATCTACTTATTAAGAATCATACAGGACTAGGGCTGGGGCTTAGCAGTAGAGCACTCACCTAGCACGTATGAGGCCCTGGGTTCAATCCTCAGCACCATATAAAATAAATAAAATAAGCATACAGTGTCCAACTACAACTAAAAAATAAATATTAAAAAAAAAAGAATCATATAACCATAAAGCCCAAGCACTGCTTACCACTTTTTCCACAATGAATACTAAGTCATTTTCATTTAGAATATTTTTCAGAGGGTTTGGTTGACCTTTGTTGATCAATTGCACTTGGATATCAGCCTGTTAAAAACATACGTCAAGCAATGTTTTTTATATACATATATATATATATATATATATATATATATATATATATATATACACACACACACACACACACACACACACACACACTTTTGTACAAATATATAAACACACTAAGACTGGTTCTATGTAAGTGACCTGAAGAGATTTTAACAAGTCATATGTTTTAAAAGATTTTATTAATTTTTTTGTCCATGTTATTTCTCATGATGTTTAGAAAACTTAGCTCTTAAACCTAACACCTCTTCATGCTTCAAGGTCTACCTGAGGTGCAACTGCCTTGTAAAGTCATCTTTGCTTTGAACCACACTGACATCCTTTTCCCCAAATCACACTCTGTATTTACTGTTTTGTAGCATAAAATTACCAATTTATTAAATATTATCCTTTCTTTTGATTGTACTATAAAATTTTAAAACTTTACCACTATCAGTTTGCAGAAACTTTATATTTTTTCATTCCAAATGCAATACACAACTATTGTAAAAAATGCTTTTTTTAAATATAAGTTTTTTAAAAATCACCCATAATTCTACTACCCAGTATAATTACTACTGTTTTCAGTCTGGTTGGCTTATATTCTGTCAGATCTTTTACAAGGCATACAAAAAATTGTCACTTATGTAAAAAGAAATGTGGGGCTGGGAATATAGCTCAATTTGTAGGATGCTTGCCTTGCATGCACAAGGCCCAGGGTTCAATCCCCAGCACCATTAAAAAAAAAAAAAAAGAAAAGAAAGAAAGTATCTATTTAGATATCTGGACAGAATTTTGTTTAGTAAAGACAGGATATTCCAATAATTTTCATGAACCTTTTTCCATGTCATTATTCTTTTTCTTCCTAGTAGTATGGTTCTATCATTCTACCATCACATATTAATTCTATTTTGTGCAACATTTTGGTAGTTTCCAGTTATTTGCTACAATATATAATGGAAAGTAAATATCTATCAAAAATGTTAAGATGAACACCTAAAATCACATTAATATTGTCAAATACATCATACCCAAATTATTTGTTTGTTTGTTTAGCAGTACTGGGGATTGAACCCAGGAGTGCTCTATCACTGAGCTACATGCCCAGATCTTTTGAGACAGGGAGGGACTCACTAAATTGCCTAGGCTAGCCTTGATCATGGAAGCATGGTCCTAGCAACACCTAGATTTCAACACTGAGAATAAATTTCATGTTTTAAGCAGTCTTATTTGTGGTACTTTGTAAGAGCAGCCCTAAAAAACTATTCTTCTATTAATTTTTGTCTTGTGAATTTTTAAGAGCCTTACATATTTTATTTATACAGATGGATATACATATTAACACTTATCCACAATTATTTCTCCTCAGCTTGTCTTTTAATATATACTATTTAATTCACTAATTATTCCTATGGAATACTTGGCACATATCAGATGCTTAACAAATACATGAATATTTAAAGCAGCTTTACTCATAAGCCTCAAAAACTGGAAACAAATTGGGCTTGGTGGTGCACTCCTGTAATCCCAGCAGCTTAGGAGGCTGAGGCAGGAGGATCGCAAATTCAAAGCCAGCTTCAGCAACTTAATGAGGATCTAAGCAACTTAGTGAGACCATGTCTCAAAATAAAAAATAAAAAGGACTAAGGATGTGGCTCAGTGGTTAAGTGCTCCTAGCTCTATCCCTGGTGCCAAAAACAACAACAACAAAAAAAAAACCCAAAAAACTGGAAATAACTCAAATATCCCTCAATCAGGATTGGATAACACAATTGTAGTACACCTATAAAAATGAATTATTGATACATAAACAATATAGATGAATCTCAAATGCATTATACTGATTGAAAAAAAAGCCAGAAGGCTAGATGATTTTATCTATATATACAATGAAAAAGGCAAAACTATAGTGACAAAAAACAAATTAGTAGTTGCTAGGAACTAAGGGCAGGGGAAAAGGTTATCCTCACAAGAACATGAGGAAAGAAAATTTTGTTTGGTACTAGGAATTAAACCCAGGGACTCACACATGCTATGTAAGCACTCTATATGCTGAGCTACATCTCCAGCCCTTTTTACTTATCTAAGTTGCCCAGGCTGGACTCAAACTTGCAATTCTCCTGCCTCAGCCTTAAAGCTGTGTGCTACCACACTCAGGTAATACGAGAAAATTTTCAGAGATAAAGAAATGTTGGGGCTCGGGTGGTGGCTCAGAGGTAGAGTGCTTGCCTGGCACGTGTGAGGCCCTGGGTTCAATTCTCAGCACCACATACAAATAAATAAATTAAATAAAGGTCCATCAATGACTAAAAAATATTTTAAAAAATGTTCTATATCTCAATTATAGAAGTGATATGACTAAAGGTATTTGTCAAAACTCACAGAACTGTACCCCAAAACAGTGAAATTTGCTGAATGTGAATTAATTTCAATAAATCTGACTTAAAACCCTACAATTTTAGGGTAGAGTTGTGTTTAAAAACCAAATAAACATTTCATACCTCATAGATAAATGGGTCTTTACAGATTCCTTTCTTTTCTTCATTAAATTCTCTGAAATGAAGAACCACATGTGAAAAGTAGAGCTATAGCTTAATTAAACTCAGAAGTTAGCTGCACTTTACCTCTGCATGATATCAGTGAGGGGAAAAATAAAAATACCTATGGCAGCCCTAGGGCATAGTGGGAAAGAGGAGAAAAAAGAAGTGCTTAGATTAAGAAGGAAAAAAAAAAAAGAATTGTGATAGATTAATGAACTGCTACCCACAATTGTACACAAGTTTCTTCTTCTTTTTTAAAATTTTGGTACTAGGGATTTAACCCAGGGGCCCTTTACCACTGAGCAACATCCCAGCCCTTTTTATCTTTTTATCTTGAGACAGGGTCGCATTAAGTTGACAAGATTAGCCTTGAATTTGCAATCCTTCAGCCTCAGACGCCCAAATTGCTAAGATTACATATGTGCACCACCACACCCAGCAGACATATTTGTTTCTTAGAGGCAGCAGAAATTTATGTCGTTGGCCTCTTCACTTATGCTTTTTCAAATACATAACCACATAAATTTTGTAAGATTAAAAGTGAGTAAATTCTGATCTGACACTGAATCAGTGGTTAACTTCTGAGAAGTTACTTAAAAGTCTCAGATCTTAGATTTCGGCTAAATAGAACCATCTCTTCTCCATTTTGTGAGCTTTTACTTAAAACAAACAAACAAACAAAAAACCAGTAAATTTGACAGTTACTAAAAAAAAAATTTAAATATTTCCTTTTTAAAATACAAGCAAAAACCTCTAGGATATCATTTAATAACTATCACTTAATTCAATACATTTTACATATGAACTATAAATTAACATACTAAAATGCACTACCAAAATCACATCAGCCTGATCTACTCTCTTAAAGAGTCTTTGAAGGGCCCCAATAGCATTGTTTTAGGATACCATTTACATCTATTTGATCTAATATATGACCTACTGAAATAGAAACAGGAGAGCAGGCCTGTGACTAATTTGCTTTTGCCATATTGTGTTAGATTATGACTTATTCTTAAAGACGTTTACCTTTTAAGTATGACTCAGGGATATTACTTAGTCATTCAACAATTGTCAACAAACATACATATTTTAAGCCAGGCAGTCTTGCTAGATGCTAGGGATGTTAAATACAGTCTTAGCCAGGTAAGGTGGTAAACACCTATAATCCCAGAAACACAGGAGGCAGGAGGATGTCAAGTTCAAGGCCAGCCTCTGCAATTTAGTAAGACCTTGTATCAAAAATAAAATTAAAAGGATTGAGGATATAGCTTGGTGGTAGAGCACTATTGGGTTCAATCCCCAGCATGGGGTGGAGGCAGAGAGAACGCAGTCTTGACTGGAGTCCAAAGAGTAAATCAAGAGCTAGCTACAGGGTCATGAGTGCTCTGTCAGAGGCAAGTACTGTACAAGAAGCTGTGGTGGAGATTTAGCTAGGGCTTGAACTTTATCTGAAAGCCCAGGGGAATTTACTGAAAGATTTAAATGAGAAATATAACTTGGAGTCCAGGAAAATAGCTGTGAATAACTTACAGCACTTCAGAGAAGTCATAGTGGCCTCAACAGGAGTGAAGCAAAGATAAAAGGACAGCCTAGATGAGGTGGGAGTAGGGGACAGTGGAAAGAGAAGGAAGTTGGGGTCTTGGATTTAGAACTCTTTTAATTCAGAGACTGAATTCAAGAGTGGAGCTAGGTTCAGTGGCATACCTCTGTAATGCCAGCAACTCAAGAGGCTGAGACAGGAGGATTGAAAGCTCTGGGCCAGTCTCAGTAATTTAGTGAGACCCTGTCTTAAAACAAAGCTAAAAGGGCTGAGAATGCTGCTCAGTGTACAGTGCCCCTGGGTTCAATCCCCAGTATATTCTACAAAAATCAATCAATCAATCAGAAGAAAAACATCAGGTTAAGTGGAAAGATTAATTCAGTCTTCAAGTATTGACTTTGAGACTCCACATAAAAATTTCCATTAGGAAGCTGGATATAGAGGAACAAGAGAAGAGACAGAAACTTTTGGTGCTTACAAGTGAAGAAAAAAACTAATAACACTCATTAAATATTTGGGAAGTATAAAGGGCTTAAGTTTTATCATAGAACAACCACAGAATGAAGTACTGTATACTTCCAGACACTGGAGTAAGACCGGGGCAGAATGTGGGAGCAAGTAAACGATCAGATAGATACATACATTCTCACACTGAAAGATATCCAAGACATTGTTAGTTTCTTTTAAAATGCTAGTGTTCATCATAATGTAAAGCATTACTGCAGAGGGGAAAAGCAGTAAAGACCATGAAAAATTATAGCATTTAAAGAATAATGAATTTGTAAAAAAGGCAAATTCTGTGGCCCCCACTTCAGACCTAATAAGTGAGAAACCCTGGAGGTGGAACCTAGCAATCTGTGTTTTGAGAATCCTCCAGGTGATTCTGATACACACGCAAATTTCCGACCCACTGAATTAGACCTTTTTTTTTTTTTGTCTGAATTAGACTTTAATGTATGGTGAAGAACTTAATAGAATCCCTTTGGTTGTAATACTTAACTATAAGAACAAAATGAAGTAGTGGAGCAGTGAAAAAAAAAGGTGCTTTTAAAATCAACACCTCATGCCGTTATCATTAAAAGTGTAGATCATACGGTAACCACTTTGAACACACTATAACAATCCGTTTCACTTTTAGCAAGGCTTTGAACAGGTGAAGGATGGCGACATCCAGTTTTCCATATCCTGGGAGATGCCTCTACTTAAGTAATCACAAGCGTGCGCAAAAACAGAATAAATAAGTTGCCTCCTAAATATGTGTCACCTTCTGCCTATTTTGATAACGTGCAGATATTTTCTCCTAGGACCACAGGCAGGGCCCCCACTCTGGAGCAGGAGGCCGGTCTCTTCCCCAGCAAAGCAGGCCAAGCGCTCATTCTCAAGGTGCAGTAAAAAGCTTGGGGCGGGATCTAGATACCTAGAGAGTATCTAGAAATGCTGTTCCTATATCCAGCTATCGGTATAAACTACGACTCACTGAAGAAGGCGAGCGTAAAACTCCTCAGCTCCTCGGCTCACTTGCGCCCACATTCTTCCCCGGTCTTACTCCCGACTCCGGAACCGCCAAACTGAACTGCGCGCCCGGACGCAGACGTCAGAAGCCGTAACCCCGCCCCGCCGGGACTACTTTTACTAGTTGGAAACCAACTCCTTTTGTTCGTATAATTAAACTTTGTTTATAGAGCACCCAGTGAAATTTCTTGTTACAATAGTTTTCTATTCCCGTCAGAAATTTTTTTTTAAATAAATGTAGTGGTTGCAGAGAAAGACTCCTCCTCTCGCGAGATTGGTCACGCCCTCTTAAGAATTATTCCGCTAAAAGGAGTCCCTCCTTTCTAAGCAAGTTTTCTAAGATTTGGAAACACAGATCCCATGCTTTGATACATATAAAAAATAATACGCTGTTTTTTTAATTTACTTAGTATAGTAGAGAGATATTTTGTGCCTGCGTTTGTTCTGTGGCGGGGCACTATGTGAACAAGCTGAAGGTTACATATAGAGTAAGGAGTTCTAAGTACTTCCTTTTCCTGTGGGAGCAGCTGGGGCGAGAGGAGCGTGGCCCTCTCCTGTCCCGGCAATGGTGAGTGGAAATCTTACCTGGACTTTCGCCTGCCCGGAGCGAGAACGGAGCGACGAGGGTTCAGAAAACAAAATATGCAGGGGAGGAATCGAGGACGAGAGTTACAAAAGCGTCTGTTTTCGGGGAGAACTGGGTTGTATGGCAACCCGGCAGCCATCTTAGGCAACGTGGGCGGCTGGGCACTAGGGCGCGCCTGGAAGCTCCTCGGTCGTTCTCAACGAACTTTCGGATTCTAGCTGCTTTTGGATCCTGGAAAACTAGAGTTCTGTTGAGAATGGGAGCTCTGGGCGCCTGAGAAGGTGGGTGGTAAGGACAGGTTTGTGCCTTATATCTAAATGTGCTCTTTAGCTAGGTATATTTCCATCTTTTAAGGAACTTTGTTAAAGAGGGGAAAACTTGTATTAGGTCCTTTTTCCTGAATGCCCAGTATTGAGGTGATTTCTGTAAAAAGCTTTGAGACTCAATTAAGATTCGTTGCTGTATTTGACACCGTCTAATGTTTAAACTTTTAGCAAACTCACGGTATGACTAACGTTGGGTGTCCACTATGTTTCAAATACCATGCTTGTGTGCTATGTAATGTACTGGAGTTTCTGAACAAGACAGACAACACTATGCATGGATTGCAGTTGACTTGGACTGAAAACATAGTAATATTCAATTGTAAGTGCCTTTGACATAGGAAATTGGAGAGGATGTAATATCAACTTAAAACAGTGATTGGAGAAGGTGACCTCATAACTTAGTGGTCCAGCACTGTGCAAGGCCCAGTGCTGAACCCCAAAACTGGAAAGAACAAAAGGTGGGCCAATATCTGGAAGAGAGGAGATTGTATAAGCCATCCTTAAGACGCTACTACTTCCAGTGAAAAGTTTTTAGGAAAGATGAAGGAAAAGTAACCTGACAAGTTTTTACTAGCAAGCTTTGGAAGAGGTAAGGGGGAGCAGCAGAAATGAAAGGTTGGATGAGTGAGTTCAGAAAGTTTAGGTGGTGAAATTAAACTGCATTTTCAACCCTTGAAAATTGTGGAGCTTGGGACAGGCCTAAGAACTTATTGAAGTGTTAATAATTTGATATTGTTTGAGGCTTTATATGGTATTTAAGCCTTAAGCAATGTCTGCCTCACAAAACTGAGCTCTTATATAACTGATAGTTTGCTGTTGGCATATGAGAAGAGTTCACCTCTAATGTTGCTTGTCAATTTTTTTCCCCCAAGGCGTGTGCTCGACCCCTGATATCTGTGTACTCTGAAAAGGGGGAGTCATCTGGCAAAAATGTCACTTTGCCTGCTGTGTTCAAGGCCCCAATTCGACCAGATATTGTGAACTTTGTTCATACCAACTTGCGTAAAAACAACAGACAGCCCTATGCTGTCAGTGAATTGGCAGGTATGGATTCATGTTTTCTCTGGGTTGGTATTTTAAGGTTGCTTTACAGTAGTGATGAAATTCTACTTCATTGGTCCGTGTTTCTGAATCACATGATTTTCTTGGATATTCTGATGCTGTTTGTTGCCATGCACAAGTCAAATAGATTGGTTATGTCTAGGTAGCTAAAATTGAATTTCTTCCCATTTAGGTCATCAAACCAGTGCTGAGTCTTGGGGTACTGGTAGAGCTGTGGCTCGAATCCCCAGAGTTCGAGGTGGTGGGACTCACCGTTCTGGCCAGGGTGCCTTTGGAAATGTATCCTTTTACTACCTACACTGGTCAGTTTGTGGAATCTAGCAGACTGTGCCCGGTTTATACACATTAAATGTATTTTGAACTCTTTATGTCTAAAATATTAAGTGTTCAAGTTATCCGTTGCTTGAGACACATGTGAAATTAAAATTATTCTTCTAGAGAAAAGGCTTCACACAGGGAGGTTTCTCTTGCAATGATGTCGTAATTTGCGTCTTACTCTGTTCTCAGCGACAGTTGCCTGCTGTCAGTAAGCTGTTACAGAAGGTTGACGAAAATTGTTACTGAGCAAGACATAACCATTTCCTAATGAGTAATTTTAAGAAGTGTTATTTTTTAATATTTATTTTTTAGTTGTAGTTGGACACAATATTTTATTTATGTGGTGCTGAGGATCAAACCCAGGGCCTCACACATCCTAGGCGAGTGCTCTATCGCTGAGCCACAACCCAGCCCCAAGAAGTGTTATTCTTAACTAAGGAAATAGATGTGTAGAGGAGGCCGCATGTTCGCACCAACCAAAACATGGCGTCGTTGGCACCGGAGAGTGAACACAACCCAAAAGCGATATGCCATCTGCTCTGCCTTGGCTGCCTCAGCCTTACCAGCACTGGTCATGTCTAAAGGTTTGTAATATTTTGTTATAATTTGCCTGTGTTCATCCTAGAGTGTCTAAATTTCCCTTTATTAAGAATAGGTTTTGAATACTTCTAAATAACAAGTTGGTGATCTAACAATAGCTATGTAACTGGAAATTCTTCAAATAGTAATTATATAATTAGAAAGCTTTTCATATCACATCTCCCTCGTGCACATTTTTATTTGTCAAAATGATGAGATTCCACTTAATTGGTCCGTGTTTCTGAAACAAATGATATTTGTGGAAATTCTGATTTGGCAAATTGTGTACCATATTGCTTTTGTAAGTTATATAAAATCTTTTTCAAAGAATTCAGGTAACCAGATAAGTATTGAATTGGTTTTGTCAGGTCATCGAATTGAGGAAGTTCCTGAACTCCCTTTGGTGGTGGAAGATAAAGTTGAAGGTTACAAGAAGACCAAGGAGGCTGTTTTGCTTCTTAAGAAGCTTAAAGCCTGGAATGATATCAAAAAGGTAGGCTTAGCTGGGTGCCATGGCGCCTGCCTGTAACCCCAGCAGCTAGGGAGGCTGAGACAAGTAGAATCACAAGTTCAAAGGGCCAGCCTCAGGGATTTATCAATGCCCTCTCTAAAAAAATACATTTAAAAAGGACTGAGGGTGTGGCTCAGTTGTTAAGTTCCCCTGGGTTCAATCCCCAGTACCAAAAAAAAAAAAAGGTAGGCTTAATGTGCATATTTACAGTTTGGTGGGTTTTGTTTGTAAGTTGTACATGGACACAATACCTTCATCTTATTCATTTATTTCTATGTGGTTCTAAGGATCAAACCCAGTGCCTCACCACATGCAAGGCATGTATTCTACTACTGAGCTCGAACCATAAGTCCCAGTTTGGTGGTTCTTGATGTATAGAAATTTGTCAGATCTTGATTTTCTTTTCTTTTTTTTTTTTTAAGCATTTTTTAAAAATATTTATTTCTTGGTTGTACACAATACCTTTATTTTGTTTATTTTTATGTGGTGTTGAGGATAGAACCCAGGGCCTTGCACATGCTAGGCCAGCCCTCTACGGCTGAGCCACAACCCCAGCCCCAGATTCTTGATTTTCAAGAGGAAAACTGGGAAAGATAGGACAGTCAACCCTTAGTATCCATTGGGAATTGATTGCAGGACCATCCTTGTCTCCATAATAAGATCCATTAATGCCCAGGCTCACAAAGTGAGGTACTATAGTATTTCCATGTAACCCATACACATCATCTTAAAAAATTATTTTTACCTAATATAATGTAGATGCTACGTAAATAGTTCTGCATTATATTATCTAGGGAATAATTACTAGGAAAGACGTATACACAGTATAGATGCAATACTTTGTCAGAATGGTGTCTGAGGAAGCAAGTACTTAACTGTGAAGATCCAGGACAGATCTATACCTTAATAATTAGTACTTCATTTACCTTAATACTGAAATTGCTCATTTTGTAGGTCTATGCTTCTCAACGAATGAGAGCTGGCAAAGGCAAAATGAGAAACCGTCGTCGTATCCAGCGCAGGGGCCCCTGTATCATCTATAATGAAGACAATGGTATCATCAAGGCCTTCAGAAACATTCCTGGTAATCCTTACAGTGTTTTTGTTTTGATTACCCACACTTTGCATCCTTGTTCAGCTTTGATTATGATGAAATTCCACTTTATGGTCCGTGTTTCTGAAATAAATGATTTTGTGGAAATTCTGATTCTTAGCTGAATGAATTGTACTATCGATAGTTGAAACTTTGTAAAATTGAGAAGATAGTTCTCGGGTTCCTGGTGAAGCCATAAAGATTGTTTATATTATGTTGAAAATGCCTTTCTAATTCTCCTTTCCCTTTAAAAGGAATTACTCTACTTAATGTAAGCAAACTGAACATTTTGAAACTTGCTCCTGGTGGGCATGTGGGGCGTTTCTGCATTTGGACTGAAAGTGCTTTTCGGAAGTTAGATGAACTATATGGCACTTGGCGTAAGGCTGCTTCCCTCAAGAGTAACTATAAGTGAGTGCTTTTTTATATTTAAATACTGAACGTAGATTTAAACTGAAGATGAACTTCAGCACCTTTATTTTTAACCATTTATCTCTATGCACATTAGCATTCAGAATTGGTTAGCATAGTTTTCATGGGTTTTTAATATTTATTTTTTAGTTGGACACAATATATTTATTTATTTTTATGTGATACTGAGGATTAAACCCAGCTCCTCGCATATGCTAGGCAAGCGCTCTACTGCTGAGCCACAACCCCAGCCCCTCATGGGATTTCTTTTTTGGTTTTGTTTTGGTAGTATTAGTGTTTGAACCTCGGAGCACTCATCACTAAGTTAAATCACCCCTTTTTTTCATTGTGAGACAGGATCTTTCTAAGCTGCACAGGCTGGTTTCAAACTGCTGCAGCCTTGAATTAAAGGCATGTGTCACCACACCTAGCTGCATACTTTGTATAAATAATGGGTTTTATTTGGCTGACATTTCCCTTTATGTGCAAACAGTATGCTGGAATGGTAAATACTTCTTTGGCCAGTGCTTCTGAAGATAGTTTAGTGGAAATTTTTACTGAGTTCTGGAGAGAGAAATGGTTAAAAATAGAGATGTTGTTGGGCTGGGGTTGTAGCTCAGTGGTGGAACTCTTGGCCTAGCATGTGTGAGGCCCTGGGTTTGAGTCTCTGCACCACATATAAATAAATAAAAGTAAAGATCCATTGAGGACTAAAAAACTATTTTTTTTAAATAAAAGAATTGCCATTTAAAAAAATAATAAAATAAAGGTGTTGAAGTTTATCATCCTTAGTCAGTTACTTGAGAATTTAGGTATCCATTGTTAATCATTTTCCTACAGCCTCCCTATGCACAAGATGATCAATACAGACTTGAGCAGAATCTTGAAGAGCCCAGAAATTCAAAGAGCTCTCAGGGCACCACGGTAAAGTTCTGATGTTTATAGTATCATTCTTTCTGCCAAATTATTATTTCAAAAATATGAGTAATGTAAGTAAATTAATAAGTGTCTACCTTTTCATAGTAAGAAGATTCATCGCAGAGTCCTGAAGAAGAATCCATTGAAAAACCTGAGAATCATGTTGAAGCTAAACCCATATGCAAAGACTATGCGCCGGAATACCATTCTTCGCCAGGCCAAGAATGTAAGTGATCCGTTTGTTTTTACTAATAATGTGGAGTTTTTTTTTAAAAAAACTTAGATTTTTTTACTTAATTTATTGCAGCACAAACTCCGGGTGGATAAAGCAGCAGCAGCTGCAGCCGCAGCTAAATCAGATAAGAAAGATCAGAAGGGGGCTGCAGGCAAGAAGCCTGTGGTGAAGAAGCAGGGAAAGAAGGCTGTTGGTGTTAAGCAGAAGAAGCCTGTGGGGAAGAAGGCTGCACCTTCCAAGAAACCAACAGCTGAAAAGAAACCAGCAGAGAAGAAACCTGCTGCAGAAGAGAAAAAGTCTGCTGCATAAACTCTAAAATCTGTTTTATTCCATAAGTTTAAATAATTTTGGACAGTTTATTTTGAATAAAGAGCTGATCAAAGATGCAGTGACAAACATGTTTTGTTGGGTCTGTTTAGTAAAACTTCACTGGTCTTAAGAAAAAAATTTTTTAGTTGTAAGTGGACACAGTATCTTATTTCATTTTTATGTTGTGCTGAGAATGCAACCCAGTGCTTTATGCCTGTACAACTGAGTCATAACCCCAACCTTCACTGAGTGGTCTTTGAAAAGTAGCACTTTGTTATTCCTAATTCCAGTCTTTAATTTGGCCCCTATTATAGTCTGGTATAATGGAGATTTGGATTTACATTTAGACCATGCATTTGAGTGGAATAGTAATTTCTAAGAGCTTGATGTGGCATTCCATTTTATAAATCACTAGAAAAGCAGATGTTAGAAATGTGCCTCACACACAACCTTATGAGGTCATGGTTGCCTGTAATCCCAGCAGCTCAGGAGGCCGAGGCAGCCTCTGCAACCTAGACCATCTCCAAGTTTAAAGGGGGGGGGGGCTGGGGATGTGGCTTGGTGGGTAAGCACTCCTTAGTTAAGTCCCTTGTACCCCCCAAGAAAAGTATTTGCTTCCCAAAAAGGGCTGGATGTGAGTTAAATTCCATAGAAATTTAACATTTTGAGCAACCACAAGAGGGCACAGTTGTCTTAATACAATGTTGGAAGTAACCAGTGAATTTGGTTACCTCTGGAAAGTGCTTCTGTTAGCTTACAATGATGGAAGTCTGTTGGCACTTGTCACCCATAATTTAAAAAGATTCTAGAGGGGTTTTTTTTTGGAACCATGTGCTGGGAGCCATTAGCCAAGTAAGTATGACAATTTCCTTGCCAGCGTACCCCATGTTGCAGTGACATTGAATGTACTTAACCTTGCTCAAGGACCAAGGCAGATTAGGGTGTTCCCGGTTTTAAGATAATCTTGTTTAGGGCGTTCCCAGTTTAGGTTCCAGGTTTAAGGTTTAAGATTATTCCTGATGGGAATAGGGCGTATCCTGCTGCCTGAGTTCCCCTTGAGTTCTCACGGGATTCAGACAGTATATTTTGGAGATAGAAGCCCAGTGGAGGTGAATTTGGGAGAGAACGTGGATTTGGGCAGAGAACGTGGATTTCCCCAGAACGTGATTGTAGACGGCTGGTGTGAGTTCGGGAATAAAGAGTTGCTGTTTGAATCTACAAGCTGTGTGGTGGCTCGTGATTGTGTGCCCAGCCAGACATTGGCATTTGGTGGTCAATTGGCTTGGTGTCGTGGCATTTCTGTATCCTCCTCCCTTCTGCTAGTGATGGTCTAAAATTTGGGGGCCAATGGCTTATGCTGGACCGGTAGTCAGTGACGGGTATGATCCAATTGCAGTGGTATCAACCTAAGACAGGAGGCTGACGCCTAAAGGTCAGTTTTCCGATGACGGGTAAGAACCATATGTTGAATTGGACAACCTACCAGGCACGGTCCATAAGCCACATTAACCTCACTCCCCCACTGGCACCAAGGCCAAATTTGGGGGCCAACAGAGGTGAGGCAAAGAACCTCACCCCCCCACTGGTGCATAGACCTATCCACAAGTATGGCTGTATGCTGGACCGGTAGTCAGTGACGGGTATGATCCAATTGCAGTGGTATCAACCTAAGACAGGAGGCTGACGCCTAAAGGTCAGTTTTTCCCATGACGGGTAAGAACCATATGTTGAATTGGACAACCTACCAGGCACGGTCCTTAAGCCACATTGCTTGTTGTTTAATTAATCAGAAGGGGGGAGATGCTGGGAGCCATTAGCCAAGTAAGTATGACAATTTCCTTGCCAGCGTACCCCATGTTGCAGTGACATTGAATGTACTTAACCTTGCTCAAGGACCAAGGCAGATTAGGGTGTTCCCGGTTTTAAGATAATCTTGTTTAGGGCGTTCCCAGTTTAGGTTCCAGGTTTAAGGTTTAAGATTATTCCTGATGGGAATAGGGCGTATCCTGCTGCCTGAGTTCCCCTTGAGTTCTCACGGGATTCAGACAGTATATTTTGGAGATAGAAGCCCAGTGGAGGTGAATTTGGGAGAGAACGTGGATTTGGGCAGAGAACGTGGATTTCCCCAGAACGTGATTGTAGACGGCTGGTGTGAGTTCGGGAATAAAGAGTTGCTGTTTGAATCTACAAGCTGTGTGGTGGCTCGTGATTGTGTGCCCAGCCAGACATTGGCAACCATGTGCATGTATTAGTGCATAGATGTGTTAACCAAACATAGATAAACAAGGTCGTTTTGTATCTGGATGGTTGGCGAAGGTTCACAGCCACTTAGATCTGGTTCCTGGGCCAACTATTGGTTCTTGGTAGACAAAATGGTGTATATCATTGCGTTTTGTCCTCACAGCTTCATCTTCATGCTCTTTAGCTCCTTAAGTAGCAGTCTGTCCCCTGTAGAGTCCACTAGGAATTAACAATATGGTTCAAGTACCACAGCTTGTAGTAGAAACGGGTGATTTTGATTCCTTCCTTGGTACTCAACTGGAGGCTTGTGGAGTCAAACAGCTGCTTGGGCCAGGGGTTGTAGTCGCCTAGCCTGCACGAAGCCCTGGGCTCTACCCAAGACAGCGGGAGGGTGGGGGTGGGGGTTGAAGCACCACGTTGGAAGTGTTCCGCAGCCAGTACTGCTCTCCTGAATTATTACAGTTTGGCCACTTAGTGTGAGGAAATGCACTACCGGGGTTGAAAAACCTGTCCAAACTCAAGACTTATTTTCAGGTTCTTTTGTCCTATGCTTTAGAAATCTTGATCATTATTCATGCGTCCAAATGTCTCCTAGAAAGCCAAGCCCTTCACGTAGCTCACCACCCATTGAGTAACCGGACGACTGCACGCGCCAGAAGGAGGAGACCTGCTATGCGCTTCCGATTTGTCTTCAAGCCCCGCCCCCTATGTTTCCGGGAATTGGCAATGGCGTCATCACCGAGCGCCAGGCTGACAGAGCGTGGAACTTGGCGTTGTGACGAGCGGAGATGCTGAGCCGGCTTCAGGAGCTGCGCAAAGAGGAGGAGACGTTGCTGCGACTGAAGGCGGCCCTGCACGACCAGCTGAACCGCCTCAAGGTGACCCCACCGCCCCACCATTTCGCCTGCGTGACATCTCCCCGAGCTCAGCCCTTTGAGGAGCCTGCCTCTGCCGTCGATTGTCCTGGTCCTCATCCGTCCGTCGTGGCGCGGACCTAGCAGGTTACAAACTCGTGTAGCTGAAACACCTGGCAAGCGAGCTTTCGAATATTAGGCCCCACATCTCTAAATCTTGACCCTGCTGGTCTCGACTGAGACTCAAGAATCCGTTTGGCAATGTGGCCCCCCAACCCCATCTCCGCCCTCGCCCCGCGTCAGTGCTGATGGCCCACACGTCACATGCTGAGGACGTGTCCTCTTCTCCAAAGCTCACTTAGTCTTCCTACCCATCCATCTCTTCCTGAGCCAGTTTACTAGTTTGTACTGATTGTTGAAATGGCTTTAGTATTGCAAACCAAGAATAGACCTTTGAGATATCCCATGGTGTGAAAGATATTAAGCCCTGGGAGAGGGACTGGTCCCAAAGCTCAGAATTCCCAGTAGTTCTTGGAGCTGTTAATGACTCCATGAATTTGAAGGTTGGTGATTCATGCCTGTTTACGTCACTTTCCAGACCTGTGGATAATTCAGCCCTTGTGAGATGATCATGCTAATCCCTATTCAACTGTCTTATTTAGGTCTTGAAGTCCAAATGACATGAGGATTAAAAAGCCCTTTATAAACTGAAAAGCGTTTTACAATTTTGACTTAGCAAAACAATAAGCATTTTCCTCCAGGGTAATTATAATGACCCACAGTTATGTCTATACTGCAACAGTACCCCTACAAGTACCTAGTGATAGTGTGGATGATGGTCCCCAAAACCCAGATTCCCTCATGGTTCAAGAAACACTTCGATTTTCTTTTCCCCCTATCTTTGCTTTCTCATTACTGAGTAGACAAGCTCAGGTGTGAAGACTCCACCTTCTGTGGAGTCGGGTGTTACCTGGTCTTTTGTGTGTGTGTGTGCGGGGGGGGTGTACTGGAGATTGAACTCTACCACTGAACTACACTCTCAGCCCTTTTCATTTTTTATTTTGAGACACGGTCTTGATAAATTGCACAGGCTGACTTTCACATCTGATTCAATGATACACTTGTGTTTTCTTCCATAACTCCTAGTTCTTGGTGAATGAAAACCATAATTGAGCCAGAACACTTGTACTGCCCACTGTGCAATGTATGCCTATAATCCCAGTGTTATTGGCAACCAGGCCAGGGAACCTGTCTGGATCCCAGCTAGCTGGATTCAGCTGCCTATGCACATAAGAAAAAGGTAAACAGTGGCTAAGGTTTGATCAAATTGTATAAAGTTCATTTTTTCTTTTTCCATTGTTTGCCTATTTTTTAATGCAGGTGGGAGGCTAGATATAACCAGTCAGAATCCAGGTAGGTTCCTTGGCTGTGCTGCCAATAACACCAGTAACTTGGAACACAGGAGGATCAAAAGCTCAAGGCTGGACAACTTTGATATCGTGTCTCAAAAAAGGGTGGTGGTGGTGGTGAGGAGGAATGGAGGCTGGGGATGTAGCTCAGTGGTAGAGTGCTTGGCTAGAATGTGGGAAGCACTGGGTTCAATCCCTAGTAAAATACACACGACACACATACACATATACACAAAACCCACCTGTACAGTCCAAAGGGAAGAAGGTGGAATTTATTCCTCTCTTTAAAAGGCAGGGAAAACAGCTGTTCATGATGCTGAGGCAGGATCACAAGTTAAAGGCCAGCTTGAGCAAATGGGTAAGAACCTGTCTCTGAATTTAAAGTGTTGAGGATGTTGGGTGAATAATAGAGTGCCTACCTTGCTCAGTGCTCTGGGATCAATCCCCAGTACTGCAAAAAAGCAAAAATAAAAGGCATGAAAAGCCTGGGGTTGATCAGTAGTAGATCACTTGCCTTGCATGCATGAGGCACTGGGTTCGATCCTCAGCACCACATAAAAATAAATAAAGATATGTGTCCATC